ATCCCAGGTGACTCTTTAAAATCCAACACTTTGGGACCAGCAGTTAGCATAATGGCTATGTTGCTGGACTCCCATGTAGTCGACCACGGTTCGAATCCTGGACCTGGTGGCTTAAAACTCACGCTGGGTGCGTATGCACGCATGCCCAAGACCCTTAGAGGAGAATGGAGGAAAAATGGAGGAGAAGGGATTGCGGCATGGCCATCTGATTTCTCGCTTACTGTCTCTCTGTCTCTGTCTGTCTGGCGAGCGCACGGGCCCTATAGCAAAAACTTCTCTAAATAAATAAACAAACAAACAAACAAATAAATAATAATTAATAAATAAATAATCCAACACCTTGGGAGACCAGCGGTTGGTGTAATGGCTATGTCATTGGATTCCCATGTAGTCAACCGCTGTTCGAGTCCTGGACCCGGTGGCTTAAACTCACGCCAGGCGCATGTGCATGTGTGCCCAAGATCCCGAGAGGAGAATGGAGGAGAAGGGATTGCTGCGTGGCCATCACAGCTGGGGGGTGATTTTTTTTAAAATCCAACACTTCTTCAACATACCGCATAGTTACTGGCAATTTCTCTCTCCTGCTGTATTGCTCTTCTTTTCAACATTTATTTCTTCCATGACCAAGAGAGATGGAGAGAGAAACAGCACCCTCGGGCTGGCAGGTGGTGTGGCAGTTAAAGGCACTGGATTCCCACACCATGGCCGGCCGAGTTCAAGTCCCAGATCTGGCAGCTTGATTTCTCACTTTCCTTTCTCTCTCTCTCTCTCTGTCTGGTCAAATTTTTAAAAATAATAACAACCAGTGGAATTAAATAAATAAATATACTTAAAACAACAACACAAAAGAAAGAAACCACCTCAACTGGGTCATGATGCTGAGAGATACACCTAACTCAGCCAGCTCTGACCCACAGGTGCTCGGGGAGGTCTCCAGATTCGAATCTGAACTATTCTATGTGGATCGGCTTTGCAGAGAGCATTACATTTTCCCACAACCCCATCATTTGGAGCCTATATTTCTCTTCCTTTAAAAAAAAAATTATTACTTTTTAAAATATAGTTGTTCCTTTTTTCTTTTTGTTTTTACATTTTTCTATAGGGAATGTGCACTTGCTGGAGGGAGACAGAGAGGGAGAAATGAGATTGCCACACTGCCATCCCTTCTCCTGTATTCTGTCAGGATTTTTGGCATGAAGTCACACATGTCCAGTATGTTTTTTAAGCCACTGGGCCCAGGACTCGAACCTGCAGGCAGTCGTGTGGGACCCAGTCACCACACCCACCATTATTACCAGCTGACCTGTATTTTTCTTCCTCACATTTTTATTTTTGGGAACCATGAGGTGGCATGGTGGTTAAGGTGCTGGACATTCCCACACGGTCGACCATGGTTCAAGTCCTGAGCCTGGCTGCTTGCTTTCTCACTTTCCCTCTCTCTTTCTCTGTGTCTCTCTCTGGTCAAGTTAAAATAAATGAATGAGTAAATAAAATTTAAAAAAAAATTTTTTAAAGGTTTTTGCCACAGAACACACAAACTTGCCAGAGAGAGAGAGGGAAAGTGAGAAATCATGCCCCCCCAACCCCAGGAGGATGGCCACACCACGATCTCCCCTCCTTCTCCTCTATGCACACGTGTCTGGCATGGCTTTCAGGCTGTCGTGTCTGGGACTCGAACTGTGGTCAGACATGTGGGAGTCCAGTGCATTAACCACCACATCACCTGCTGTGCCCATTGTCAGTTTAAGCCACCAGGTCCGGGACTCAAACCTCAGCCGACTACATGGGAGTCCAGCGACACAGCCATTATGCCAACTGCTGGCCCCTAGAACCTTTTTTTTTTTTAAATTAATTTTATTTGTTCATTTTTTAAAAAGAGAATTATTTATTTTATTATTTTTTTTTTTTCACATGAGTTTTGCCAGACAAATACAGAGAGAGGGAGAGTGAGAAAGCAAGCCACCAGGTCCGGGACTCGAATTGTGGTCTGCCATGTGGGAATTCCAGTATCTTAACTACCACACCACCTGCTGGCCCCATTCATCTATGTTAATTTGGACAGAGACAGAGGAAGCAAGAAAGCAAGCTACCGGATTCAGGACTCAAACTGTGGTCAGCCATGTGGGAGTGTCCAGTGCCTTAACCACCACGCCACCTGCTGGTCTCCCATTATAGATCATTTTCATCCCCTCAATAAGCTCTCTCACGCCCATTTACAGTCTCCCCATTTCTGCCCTCAGTTCCTGGAAAACACTGATTATTCTCTGTAAATGCCTGTTCTGAACATTTCATATAAATGGAATCAAACACCACAGTCCCTTGCGTCTGGCTTCTTTAACCTAACATGTTTTGGAGGTTCATACATGGGGTAGCATGTGGCATGACGTCACTTGTTTCTTGTTATTCCTGAATAGCATTCCACTATATATCAACATATCCCATGTCATCTATCCACTCGCCAGCTGATCGACATTTGGTTTTCCAGTTCTTTTTTTTGAGAGATTTTTGCTACAGGGTGCATGCACTCACTGAAGAGACAGAGACAGAAAGCGAGAAATTACCCCCACCCCTGGGAGGTGGCCACACCGCAATCCCTTCTCCATTCTCCTCTCAGGATTTTGGGTATACATGTACACACGCACCCAGAGTGAGTTTCAAGCCACCAGCTCTAGAACTTGAACTGCAGTTGGCCCTGTGAGAGTCCAGCACCTTACCAGCTATGCCACCTGCTGGCCACTTTCCAATTTTGTTCTAACATAGTCTACTTTTTTTTTTCTTTTCCCACTAGACTGTTAATTGCATGAAGCTGGAATTTGGGGCAATTTAGTATACCTCTGTACCTCAGCACTTGAACTGTGCTGGTTACATTGTAGGTGCTCAATCAATAATACATGCTTGGGGCCAACAGGTGGCATGGTGGATATGGGTGCTGGATTCCCACATGGTGGACTCTGGTTTGAGTCCCGGACCTGGCAGCTTACTTTCTCCCTTTCTCTCTGTCTCTCTCTGGTCAAATTTAAAAAACAATAATAACAAATGGAGTTAAATAAATAAGTATTTAATAAATACATGCTGAAGGAATGAATGAGAACTTCAGACTGTGGTAAGCACAGGTTGTGCTGGGCGTCAAGCAAGGAAGTGGGGAGGGGGCAACAGGCTCTGGGTTTGCAGGCAGTCAGGACAGGCCCCTCCAAGGGGACAGACACTCAGAACCTGAGAGTACAGGGAACAAAGTACACATTCATCACCGTCCCCAGTCTCCGCCACCTGCTCCTGCATAGATACCCACTCCCTGCAGGTACAAGCAGCCCAGCTGGGCTCACAGAAAGAAGCAGATGGCTCAGGTCCGTCCCTCCCCTAGAGCCTGACCTGCGTATGGTCCAGGGGAAGGGAGGCTGCCCAAGCTGCTGAGCCACAGGACAGCCACACCACTGGTTTGAAGCCCAGTCCTAGCCTGTCCCTGCTGTTCGCCCCTCGTCACCTTACCGATTGTTCCTTCAGTTTTCTCATCTGTAAAATAGGGAGAGTAGGGAGTAGCAGGTGGTGGAGAGTTAAGGCACCGAATCCCACATAGCCAACTATATGGTTGGAGTCCTGGACTTGGTGGCTAGGAAAACATGCTGGGCACATGTATGTGCAGGCCCATCTCCAGAGAGGAGAATGGAGAACAGTCTATAGCATAGGCATGATGGGCACGGCCATTCCCTCTTGGGAGCGATTTTTCACTTTCTTTCCTACTGGCAAGAGCACATGTCCTACGGCAAAAAACAAAAAACCATCACCACCAAGACATACACAGGAAGGGTACCAGAACCTACTGTTATGGGCTCAAGTTTAGTCCCCACCAAGTTCATGTGCCGAACTCTAGTCCCTGGTGCAATGGTATTTGGAGGTGGGACCTTTGGGAGGTAATCAGACCAGGAGCATGGGGCCCTCATAAATGGGATCAATGCTCTTTTTTTTTCCCTTTTTCTTTTTGGAGAGGTTTTTGGTATAGGGCACATGTGCTTGCCAGAAAGAGAAGGACAGAGAGACAGAAAGCAAGAAATCGCCCCCAGAGGGGATGGCCACACCACAATCCCTTCTTCTCCATTCTCCTCTCAGGATCTTGGGTACGCACACGCACCCAGCGTGAGTTTAAGCCACTGGGTCCGGGACTTGAAACACAGTTGGGCTACATGGGAGTCTACACAGACACAAAGAGGGCTATATCCACAGCCAGGAAGTGGACCCGTGCGACACAGGATCTGCTGGCCCCTTGATCTTGGACTTCCAGCCTCCAGGACTGCGACATAACTGCGACACAAATGTTTATACTGCTGTTTGTCATAGCAGCCCAAACTGGTACTAAGACACCTGTTTGTTTGTTTGTTTTTAAAGAATTACTTATTCAACTTTCCTATTATTTTAAAAAATTTGACCAGAGACTGAGAGAGAAAAGGAAAGTGAGAAAGCAAGCCACCAGGTCTGGAGATTGAACCGTGGTTGGCCATATGGGAGTCCAGCACCTTAGCTACCATACCAACTGCTGGCTTCACTTCCTTTTGTGTGTGTGTGTATAAATGTAATTTAGATCTGATCAGGAGTATAACCCAGGCCTCCCATGTGGCTTCATCCCTCACAGAAGCAGCATTTACCACCTCATGCCCTCGTAGCTAGGCAAACCTTTGTTTATTATAATTATTAGTTTTTGCTAGAGGGTGCATGCACTTGCCAGAGAGAGAGATAAAGTGAGAAATCACCCCCCAGAGAGAATGGCCACACCACAATCCCTTCTTCGCCTGTTTTCTAAGCCACCAAGTCCTGTGTGAGATCCAGTACTTTCACCATCAAGCCACGGGTTGGGCATACCTTTTATTTATTTTATTTTTAAAGAACTATTTTATTTAACTTTTATTTATTTAAATTTGACCAGAGAGGGACAGAGCAACAGAGACAGAGGGAAAGTGAGAAAGCAAGTTGCCAGGTCCAGGATTCGAACTGCAGCGAGCCAAGTGGGAGTCCAGCGCCCTTAGCCACCATACCACCTGCCAGCCCCCATATCTTTTATTTTTAAAACTCAACATATTATTTTATAAGCACTTACTCCATGCCAGGCAGCGTTCTAGAAATGAACCCATTTGTTTTCACATCATCCTCATTGGGTAGCTGCCACTTACAGATGAAGAAACCGAGGCACAGAGAGGTGAAGCAATTTCCCTGAGGGAGCACCCTGGTGGTGACACAGGTGGGCTTCCAGTGCAGCAGCTTCCATGTCTACACTCCTCACCAAGCCACAGAGGGGCTGCAAAAGGGAGTCAAAACACCGGAGCGCTGGGAATAGCCCCCTGGCGCACCGCAAAGCACACACAGGCGTCAGTGTGTCACCGTGGCACGCGGAGGGCCCGGCAGCACCCTCCTCTCACTTCTCCTAGAGCAGGCGCCGGCCCTTTGCCAGGGAAGCTGCTGCCTGCTTTAGCCTCTCTCCAGAAAGCTGCAGCTCCGCGCTCTCCCCAGACCCAACCTCATCCGGAGAGGCCCCTTCACTGGCAGGGCTGTTGGTGGGCGGAGGGGCAGGCAGAGAGACGACTGTACCCCTTCCCCATTTCTCAGAGAAAGCGGGTGGTGGTGGGGAGGGACCGTGAGTCAGGCCTACGGCCTGGGACAAAGGTCGGGCGGGGCTGGGACTCCGGAGGAATTCCTCGGGCGGGCAGGTCCCTCGCCCCTCCCCTGCCCCTGCGCTCCTGGCCTTCCAGACACACCTCTCCGCACCATGGAGTTCGACCTGGCGGCAGGTGCGCTCCGGGCTGTGGGTGGGTTTGAGGTGCCCGAGGCGACTCTGAGCCCGGGTGCCACCCACGGCAGCCCACCCAACTTCTCTTCCCTCCGCAGCCTTGGAGTCCAGCTCCAAGAAGTCCGACGGGGCGGGCCAAACGGGAGACTCCAAGTCCGGTCCCCCCAAAGTTCAGGGCCTGCCAGGTGCAGGGGCAGCTCCGAATCCGAGGGTAAGTCACCGACCCGGGGCACATCCCGAGGGGGTGAAGGGGTGAGGGTCCCTTTGACCCTAGGGCCCTGCCCCGCCTGGAGCTTTGGGCTTAGATCGGGGGCACCCTGCCTCACTGTCGCCCCTCCACCTAGCATGGCCAGAGCAGTTCCTCGGATTCCAGCAGCAGCAGCAGCAGCTCCAGCGACTCTGACTCGGAGGGGAAGGTAAAGCCCCCCACCAGCTTGTGCGTTGTGCCCCAGGACGCGCTGGGAAGGGGTGGGCTCGGTCCCCTCTTCCGGCCCAAACCCACCTCTTCTCTCCCACCCACTGCCCTCGGCCCCACAGCCCCAGGTGGCCGGCTCCAAGCAGGACGAGAGCACCCCGGGCAAAGCCAAGAAGCCCAAGATGAAGAAGAGCAAGAAGGGCAAGAAGGGCAAGGAGGCTGCCCGCTGACGGGACGGGCCTGGGCGGGACGCATTAAACCTTCCTCTCCGCCTGTTCCCAGCCTGCGTGCGCCACCGAGGGCTCCCGCCCTGCCCCTGCCGCTGCCGCTGCCGCTGCCCGGGCCGAGCCTGCCCCCTGTCGGGCAGCCGGCCGCAGTGTGCTCCGCCAAGGAGAGGCGGCCACGCCATGCCCATCAGCGTTTATTGTTTCCAGAGGGCGGCCCCGCAGCTGGGGCGGCCTGTGCAGCGGGAGATCTCAGCACCTGGGCGGGAGAGGGTCTGGGACGGCGGTGCCTGTGCCCGGGGCGCGGGCCCGGGCTGGGCGGGAGATGATGTCTGCGGCAGCCAGGCGGAGGCTCGGGCAGGTCGCCCTCACCGCACCAGGTGGAAGGTGAGCCAGTACATGAGCAGAGGCTGTGCCGCCGCCACCGCCATGGTCCGGTACATGCGCAGCTGGTTCCGCGCCCCGCGCACCGGGACCCCCTCTGCCGCCGCCTCTGCCAGGATCTTCAGCCGCAGCGTCCGGATCTGGGTGGGTAGGAGGGAGACAAAGAGTCAAGGGGTCTAGCCTCTCGACCGGGGCCTCTGTCCCTAAGTTCCAGGCACCCCAGGGCAAGCCCCTGTCCCTCTGCCCCAACTCCTAACACTGGGGACTTGCTCCTCCCCGCGTCCTGTAAGCAAAATGTGAGGCTTCCAGAGCCAAAAGCCAGGCAGAGGCTGTCCCCGGGGCGTGGCCGCTAGGACTGCGGGGACTGCGTGCCCAAAGCGGATGCTAAAACGTCCCCAGTGGTGTGCACGCCCACCCGGGTCCTAGGGGAGAAAGGCGGTTCCGGGATTGTGGCTTGACCACTCCCCTCCCACGCCCCGGGGGAGGAACTTTCTCCGGGGGGAGGAGCTTTCTCCTTTTTCTCTCTCTCAGGACGCTGCTCGAGGAAGGCGGTTAAGACCCAACCCCAGTTGCTACCACCTTCTTCTGGTGGCCAGATGACAAGTTTTCAAGACAAGTTACAGATGCTGTCTTTTAAAAAAAAAAAAAAATTATTTTATTTTTTAACATTTATTTATTTATTTTTATGTGACCTGAGAGGGACAGAGAGAGAAAGTGAGAAGGCAAGCCACCAGGTCTCGGACTCAAACCACGGTGGACATGAAGGAGTCCAGTGGCCTTAATCACTACGCCACCTGCTCCCCCCCCCTTTTTAAACTTCTTAATGATGACGACTGAGTCAAAATATATCCAAGAATCAAGTTATGCCCTCTGCTGCTCACATCCAAATGTGGAGTCCCCCCAGCACCCCGAGGTGCAAGTGTCATCATCCCATTTGACAAAAGGGAAACAGGTTTAGGGAGAGGAAGTGATTTGCCCAGGACCAGGGCAGCCTAGAGTCAACCCAGGCCTGCCAGACCCAGTGCTCTTAACTACACCCCAGTGCGGCTGGAAGGCTCTCAATCTCCTTCCAGGAAGATGGTTCACCACCAGGTAGGGTGAGGTGTGAGTACCCGGGCAACCCAGCTGGCATCTCCAGGGTCCAGCTTAAACTTTCCTATTCAAGGGAGCCCTCCTTGGGACCAGCAGTTAGCGTAATGGTTATGTCGCTAGACTCCCACGTAGTCGACCGTGGTTCACCTCCCAGACCCAGTGGCTTAAAACTCATGCCGGGCGCGTGTGCGCGCATGCCCAAGATCCCGAGAGGAGAATGGAGGAGAAGGGATTGTGCTGCAGTCATCCCACCCTGGGGGGTGATTTCTCGCTTTCTGTCTCTCTGTCTATCTGGTGAGTGCACACGCCCTATAGCAAAAACCTCTAAAAAAAAAAAAAAAGACGAAGGGAGCCCTCCTGGCCCCCAGGCCAGGGCAGCCACTCCAGAGCACCCTGATTCAGCAACGTGGCTCTGGTCTCAACTGCCCACGTGACAGCCTTTGCTCCGATGCCTCAGGGCCCCCAGCTTTGCCCACACAGCTCTTGCCATCTGCCTCATTCCCCCGGGGCCCCAGCTCACCATGAACACAAAGATAGACACGCAGCACCAGCCCAGCACCAGGTAGTAGCCGATCTTCCCAAAGAGCAGGCCCATGAGGACCCCACCAATCATCCTGGGTGTGTGGAAGGAGAGGAAAGGTTGGTCTGAGGCGGTGGCTGCGGCCTGGGGCTGGCGGGCAGGGTAGGGAGCACTCACCCGACATATTTGTAGCCCAGGAAGGCCACCAGGTCGATGGTGGTGAGGTCGGTGTTGACAGTGACCAGGTAGAGGCTGAGCAGGATGGCCAGCACCTCCAGTGTCAGCCAGGCCAATACAGAGCTGGCCTGCAGCCCCAGGAGGTCTGGGGAGAACCTGCCAGCACCCCAATCTTGTCATTTGCTTGGCTGGTTCACACCCTCCTGGGGACAGGCCTGTATTGGGTGGGACTGGAGACCTGGCTGGGCTTGTCCCCTTGGAAATCCCATTCCGGGGAGGAAGTCAGACCTGTCCCCAGACAGTGACAGCCTAGAGGAATCAGGGCTGGGACAGGGGAAGCGAATGTGGGGGCTCCCTAGAAGGGACACCTGAGCTGAGGCCCAAAGGAGTGGAAAGCTGTCAGGGAAGGCGGCTTTGGTCTAGGCCACATCCCCAGCACCTCCACAACTCATGAGCCGGTTCTAACGTCAGCTGTCATCCGTGCCACAAAGGAAAGGGGCAGGACGCACTGAGTGAGAGGGGGCTTGGCCCAGTCTGCAGGGCAGACAGGCTTCCTTGAGAAGTGGCACTGGGGGGACCACAGTTAGCATAATGGCTATGTCGCTGGACTCCCATGTAGTCAACCACAGTTCAAGTCCTGGACCCAGTGGCTTAAAACTCACACCGGGCACGTGTGCATGCGTGCCCAAGATCCTGAGAGGAGCATGGAGGAGAAGGGATTGCAGCGTGGCTATCTCCCCGGGGGTAATTTCTTGCTTTCTGTGTCTCTGTCTCTCTCTGTCTTTCTGGCGAGTGCACGCGCCCCATAGCAAAAACCTCTCCAAAAAAAAAAAAAAAAAAGAAGCAGCACTGGGTTGGAGAACTGAATGAGCAGTTGCTCGGCCGGGGACGTGGGAGTAGAGGGAACTGGATGTGCCAGGCCCACTGGAGGAATGAAGGAGACCCATGGTGGCAGAGTGGTGACCAAGGGGTAGAGGCAGCACCTGGCTGCCGAGCCGGAGCATGATCAGGGCGCTTCTGGGCAGGGAGGGACACCGCTCGGCTGCAACTCAAAGCAGACCTTTCTGACTGCTGCTGCGGTGGGAATGGGACAGTGAGGATGAGGATGGACCAGGGGGAGGCCCTGAGGAAGCCTGGACATAGAGCATCACCCAGGCAGGCTGAGGATATAGGCTGCATGAGTGGGAAGGAGGGAGGAAGCGGGGGTGACGCCGAGGACGCTGGGGCCAACCCAGAGCCAGGCTGGGCTGTTCTGGGAGGGGAAACAAGGCCATCCCACTCATGCGGGACCCCCTTACCTATCCTGGGTCCCCAGTGCAAGGCCAGCCACCAAGATGTAGGTGATGAAAGCCATGGCTGCGGGAGGCAGACAGACGCTGATCAGAGGAGGAAGCACCATCTTGGGCTCTGGGCACCCAAGCCTCTGCCGCAGACATGCCCACCCAGAGGGAGGTGCTGGGATGGTGGGGGCGGGGTGAAACCTGGAATGTAGAGGTCTGGCGCATTGACGTCAAAGCGGGGGGCCACTGGTGTGTCCTGCTGGTACTGTACTTCCCAGTCCTGTGGGGGGAGCAGAGGAACTGGCAGGGCCCCAGATAAGGGCTCCTCCACGCTGCTTACAGGCCCTCCCTAGGGCCAAGCTACCTGCCCTGCCCAGCCTCTGACCCCCCACAACCACCTCCCCTCTGTTCCTTGTTCTTGGGGCAGCGGTGCTGACCTGGTGCAGGTAGGGGAAGAGGAGCAGGCCCAGCTTCCTGCCCACGTACATGGTGTCCACAGCGAAGTAATACTTGAGCTTGGTGACGGGGATGAAGCGGTCAATCTGTAGGGGCAGAGCCAAGTCTGAGGCCCTATGGCCCCTGCACCCTGCTCCCCCTCCCACCAGCCCCAGCCACTCACGTTTTTGTCCACCAGTTCCTTGCCCTGTGCAGCCAGGCTGCTCCCGTAGGCCATGGCCATGTTGGACATAGGATCGGCTAGGAAGGCTGCTTGGGGTGAGGCAGAGGCTGCTGGGTAGCCCAGGCTGCCAGGTGCACGTTGGGCCCCATAGCCCCTGCTCTGGGCTGAACTGGTGTCGTCAAAAAGCTGGTGAGGATCAGCCATGCCCGGCTGGGACATAGGGATCCTCCTCTTTGAGGCTGCAGGGGAAGAAGGGGAGGGAGCCTCATTCATTCGGTGGTGGCTCTCCCGTCGCAATGGAGGGTGGTGTCTCCATTAGGACACTGGCTTTGGTGTCAGAATGGCCTTTGGATGCCAGCTCTGCCTGCCTGCTTTTTTCCTTCATTCCTTCCACCCATCCAGCATCCACTGATCCATCCAAATGATGACAACAATGTCATTACAGCTACTATGCACCAGGGCCTACTGAGAACAAAATCCCATACCAAGTTTTCATTTAATTATTTCTTTTTTGAGAAAGATTTTTGCTATAGGGCACGTGCGCTTGCCGGAGAGACAGAGAGACAGAAAGTGAGAAATTATCCCCTGGGGGGATGGCCACACTGTAGTCCCTTCTCCTCCATTCTCCTCTCAAGATCTTGTGCACACACATGCACCTGGCATGGCCGCCAGGTCTGGGACTTGAACCACAGTCGACTATGAGGGAGTCCAGGTGCATGACCATTACACCATCTGCTGGTCCCTCTGTACCAAGCTTTTTACAAAATCTCTGTCCAGGGCCAGCTGGTGGTATAGTGGTTGAGGTGGCTGGATCCCTAGGTTGAGTCCCAGTCCCAACAGGTTCAAAAACATGCAGGGCACTTGTGCGTGCATGGTCAAACTCCCAAAAGGAGGGAAAAATGAGACAGGATTACATATGACCATTCCTCACGGGGGTGCTTTCTCATTTTCCCTCTCTTCCTCTGTCTCTGGTGAGCATGTACACCCTCTGGCAAATTTTATTTGAAAAAAATTCTCTGTTCCTATCTCCTTCCATTCTCTCCCTCACTCACCAGGCTCTAGCCACGAGGGTCTCTAAGTGCTTACTGAACACACCAGACACACACCCACCTGGGGCCTCTGAGCTAGCCTGCTCTCCCTAGAACGCTCTTTCCTTGAGTCCTCGGGGCCTCCTTCTTTTCCTCCTCCTCCTCCTGAGGCCTGCGCTCAGTGGGCCTTCACCAACCATCCTGCCTACCGCGGGACCTCCCTTTTGCGGCATTCTCCACCTCTCTTCCACCGTCACTTATATCCGTAGAACTCAGCACCAGCTACTGAGCATCGCGGGCCAGACAGTGTTTGAAACACTGTGGATGAATTCATGTATTCCTCACAGCAACTCCATTTTTGACCATGCACTATCAACCCATTTTATGATGAGAGACGTAAGCCCCAAAGAGGTTCAGGTGGTTGCCCGAAATCAAGCATAAGTATGGGGCACAGCCAGGTTTCAAAAGTTTTTTTTTTTTTTTTTGAGAGGTTTTTGCTATAGTGCACGTGCGCTTGCCAGAAAGACAGAGAGACAGAGAGACAGAAAGCAAGAAATCACCCCCCATGGGGGATGGCCACACTGCAATCCCTTCTCCTCTGTTCTCCTCTCGGGATCTTGGACACGCACGCACACACGCCCAGCGTGAGTTTAAGCCACTGGGTCTGGGACTGGAACTGCAGTCAACTACATGGGAGTCCAGCAACATAGCCATTACGCTAATTGCTGGTCCCTCAAAAGTTTTTTTTCCTTAAAGTTTATTTACTTATCTCTTCCATGAGAGAGACGGGGTGTGGGGGGGTGCACCCTCAGCCCGCAGCCAGCCATGGATCATGGGCATGTGTGCCCGGAGTACTCAGGGAGGTCTCCACATCTGAATTGGGAACCTGCCCATGTGGGCCTGCCTCACAGAACGCGGCATCTCATCACCCTGCCATGAGCTGGCACATCCCTCTGCCTTCATGTGGGGAACAGAGTGAGGGGTGGAGGCCAGGAAGGAAAGGCTTCTGAAGTGTTCCAAGTGGGAGACCAGGTGAGCTAGAGGGACGCTCCATTGGGGTGGTCAGGAAGAAAGAACTGGTGCTGCCCCCATCTTCCAAGAGTCTTGGTAATGGGATAGGCAGAGTGCTGCCTATGGAGATGGGGAACATGGCAGGTCAAGATTTGAACCCAGGGCTCTGGCTCCAGAGCTAATATTTACTGGGATCCTACATGCCAGGCACTACTGTGTGCACAGGAAACAGGGGGCTGGAGTGCAACGGGGCTGGGGGAGAGGAATCAGTTATCCACGTCATGACCTTCTCTGCACCTCGGTTTCCTCCTTGGTAGCACGGGGTTAACCATCCTGCCCTGCAGGGCTGTCGTGAGGCACAGTGATGCTCACAGACGGCTCAGCCCTGAGGAAAGCAGTCGGTCCATGCCAACTTTATCAACTACCGGCCCCCAGCTTTTGCTCTCAGATATCTGTAGCCTGAAAATAGACTCACGTCTCCTCAATCGCAATACAGGAGCACTGGCCCCAGCATTGTCCCCGAGCCTCCTCCTTTTGCCCTCTCCCACTTCTGGCTTCCTGAGAGCTTGGGAGCAACTTTTCGCTCACTCTGTTACCCCCTCAGCTCTTGGCAATTGGGGTTCCACTCCCACCTAAATGCTTCTCTCAGCTGACCAAGCCATTGGTGCCATTGCCCCCAACGCCAATCTCCAGCTGTGCTTTTCTTTCTTTTGTTTTCTTCAGGTTTTGCCACGGGCGCTCACCGGAAAAAGAGAGAAAGTGAGAAATCAACACTCCCTCCCAGGGGATGGCCACACTGCAATCCCTTCTCCATTCTCTGGGATTTGGGGCGTGTGCATGTGTGCACACGCACACACACCAACACATACACTCCAGGTATGATTTTCAAGCTACTGAGTCTGGGGCTTGAACCATGGTGGGCCATGTGGGTGTCCAGCGTCTTAACCATCACACCATGTGCTGGTCCCCCAGCTGTGTCTTTTAGACATCCTACATACCTGTTTCTCTCACTCGTCTGACCCCACCTCTCCCACTGTGTGCTGGGCTCTGATGTGGGCACAACACTGAGTATAAAAACAAAACTCCTGGGACCAGCAGGTGGCGTAGTGGTTAAGGTGCTGGACACTCCCACATGGCTGACAACAGTTCGAGTCCCGGACCTGGCAGCTTGCTTTCTCAATCTTTCTCTCTCTCTGGTCAAATTAAAATAAATGAATGAAGAAATAAAAATAATTATATTAAAAAAAACAAAAAAAAAAACAAAAACAAAAACTCCTTCCTTCACGGAGCTGATGGTCTCTTGACCAGTCCCTCCCAATCAGCCCTTTGTTCCCAGGGTGGAAATGTGTGACCCAAATTTCCACCCTTGCCCACGTCTTCTGCCTTACCCACAGCCAGACTGTGCCTCTGGCTTCTGTACTCTGTCCCTGTCATCTGGCTGCAGACCCAGGCCCAGCCACTGCCTGGCACCCCCTCTGGCCGCCCTTGGGCCTTTACCTTGGTGTCAACATCCCTGGCTCCCCTTTTGTCTGGCATCGAACCAGTAACTTGCTCCCGCCCACTATGTCTCAATGCAACTCACGCATCTTAGATTTTGTCACCTTGCACTTAAATGTCCTACTTAGTCCCCCTGTCCATTCCTAGTCCCACCAACATTCCCTCCAACTGGCAACCAGAGTGATTGTTTTAAATGCAAATGAGACCGTGGTCATCCTCTGCCCAAGGTCAGTGGCCACTGCTGAGAATGCAACCCAAATGCCTTCTACGCCCTGCCTGACCCAGCCAGCCACGCTCATTTGCTCCTCTCCTGGACTCTCAGGCCCCAGCCACAGTGGCCTCCTCTCAGGCCAACTCTGCCAAGTCCCTCCCCCAACAGGCTTTTGCATATTAGCGCTCTCATCTAGGAACACCTTCCCCCCATCAGCACCTGCCACTACGGTACGCAGATACGCCTTTGTCAGAGACCAGCCTCACTATACAGTTTTGTTAAAGGGCACGTGCACTCGCTGGAGAGACAAAGAGGGAGAGAGAAAGTGACAAAGCACCTCCCAGAGAGATGACAATGCCTTAATCCCTTCTCCGTCACTGTCCTCTTGGGATTCTTCTCTGGATTCTGGGGATGCACACACACCTGGCATGTCCCTCAAGCCACTGGGTCCGGGACTTGAACTGTGAAGTCAGACATGTGGGATCCAGCTGCCCCAACTATGCCACCTGGCTGCCCCGCAGTGGTTCTTTTTACCCCTCTAACCATTTACAGTTTCTAAATATATCTTCATTTGTCTACTCGTTTACTTCTTTGGGGTAATTCCTTATCATCAAATGTACCCTCTTCCAGGAAGCTTCACTGACACGCCCAGCCAGCTGGGTCATGTGCCTCCTTGGGGCTCCCACAACACTTCCATCCCAGCCCGGACCTTGTGCTTGTACCTCATCACAGCTCCATCACTCTAAATTGTCACTGTCTTCTGGTCGGTACTGGCAGCTCCATGAGGACAGGAACTGCCATATCCCTTGCGTCTCCCACCACAGGGCCAGCCTGGCACCTTACTGATGATTGAGGGGAGGAGCGGCACATCACGCCTTCTCCCAACAGAGTCTCCTCAAGTCCCAGTCCATCCAGGACGATTCCCTTGATAGCCTTCTTTTTCTTTTTTTCAGGTTTAATTTGATTTGTTATTATCATTATTTTTCAATTTGTTATAGGGCACATACGCTCACCAGAGAAAAATGGGGAAGTGAGAAAGTAAGCCATCAGGTCCAGGGCTTGAACCCTGGTAGGTCATGGGGGAGTCCAGCACTTCTATCACCATGCTACCTTCTGGCTTCCCCTTGACTATTACACTCCCCGAACTATCCTATCTTGTTGATGTGTTTACCTCCTAGCTAAGTGCCTTTCTTCCCACTTATCTCTGTGCCATGCCGTAGCAATGACCAGGAATTACATCTGATACTACTGAGCATTCAAATTCCAGTACATAGACAGACACAAGGGGCGCTGAGACAAGTTATGCGAAATGAATAAATGAAATGCACGGCATACTTACTGCGATGAAGCAAAACTTAGAGATAGAAATCCACGAAGACAGGGAAAGGGGCTTAACAGTACACGAAATACAGGTTAGATTCTGAAATGAGGGTAAACATGGCCCTCTCCGCTCACGGAGAGCCCTGAAGGCTGTAATACGGTGTGTGGGTGACAGCCCAAGGGCACTGGGGAGCCACGGAAGGCTGGGGAGCAGGGGAAAGCAAAACGCCAACTGTAAAAGAATAAGTCATGTTTCTCCATACATCCCACAATATCTTGCCTTAAGTTGTTTTCTTTTAAAGAATTTCCTAAAGAATCGATCCCTAGCGCGCCCCCTACCCGGGCCTGGCATCCTGCGCTGTGCACACCTCGAAGGTCCAGAATCTCGATCTCGCGACCCCCGACCTGTAGTGACCTCGCCAACTGTCGCTGAGATCCCGCCACACCCCCGTCCGCCCGCCCGATCTCCCCGGCTGGCCACGG